AAAACTTTGTCTTGTTAGTCGTCTTTTTCGGTATTGCTAACCCAAGGGATACTTGACATAGGTGATGCTCTCAAGAATCTGGAAGAAGAGAAAGGCATTGTAATACGATTTGTGATAGGCAAAAGGTCTTTATGTACTGGTGATTTACAAGTTTTAATGAAGATTTTTTTTTCTTTTTTTTCAGAGTGATTTGGTTTACTAATTTTAAGCATCATTGCAGTGCGAAACAGGGTGACAGCTCAGACAGGGAAATCGAGAATGAAAACATGCAGGCTAATGACTTCATAATTCTTGTATGTTTGAGTTTCGTGTATGTAGTAAATTTCTATCAAACCTTAATCTCTTACATTAAAATTTGACCTGCCTTTTGGAGTGAATTTTTATGTTGATGGTAACCTTGTGAGTGAAAAGGGGCTTCACTATCTCCCAAAGTTCCAAATGGGGTCCAAGTTTAACCTCTTATACTTAGTTAATCAGTTATTGGCAAGGTTTTCTTTTTGGGCAATGTTTATCATATATAAAAAAGGATTGATTGATTAAACTGGTCTTTATCACTTTATGTGAAATCCCATCTATATTTTTCATCTTCCCGAACTGATCAACAACTATTCTCGCCGCCTGAGAGAAAAATTATGTTATGCATATGCAAATTTGGTCCATTAAATCACATGGCTTATTGTTCTCTTTGTTAAACTTATAAGTATTCATCAGTTTTTGTTTTGTGGTTTGTTATTTTCATTCTCAGGAAAATCACGTGGAGGCTCCCGAGGAGCGTTCAAGGAAGACAAAATCGTTCCTAGTCCATGCCGTGGACCACTGGAATGCTGAATTCTATGTTAAGGTCAATGATGATGTTTATGTTAATATTGGTAAGCATTTCTCTATATAATAAATGAGCCATATTCTCATTCATTGATCGATCTACGTTCTTTTTCAAATTTGTTTTCTTTAATTAACTTCTGTCACTGATTTCTGTACCGTGCTATTCCTTGTTGTGCAGATGCTCTTGGAGCTTTGCTCGCAAATCATTTGGACAAACCTCGCGTGTACATTGGATGCATGAAGTCAGGAGAAGTTTTCTCTCAGCCGTGAGTTGGTTTTATTATCTTTATTCAGATAATTTATTTGGAAGGATATGTGATGCGATCTTTTATAGTGTTATAGGTTATGTAAACCTCATTTCTTTTCTTCCATTTTTTTATTTTATTTTTTTAATACTGTGCAGGAAACACAAATGGTACGAACCTGACTGGTGGAAATTTGGCGATGGGAAATCGTAAGTCGTGAATTGATTTTTGACTTTTGCTACTCCATCTTACTTTTTGCATTACTCTTCAGGATATTTATTTATTTTGTACATGTTTTATCCTTCCTTTTGGGTTCAGTCATATACATAACTATAATCCTATGGTTTAGTGTTAATGTTCTGGATTCTAATCTCCTGGGCACTCACTTCACTTTCATATTTTCTTGAATTATAATATATTGAGCTGGATTGCTGAAAAATTGACTTGTTTTTTTTCCTAAATAGATACTTCCGGCATGCATCGGGTGAAGTATTTGCTATATCCCGGGCATTAGCTCAGTTCATTTCAATTAACAGGTAATGTATCTGATTTTCTTAAGTCATTACTCGAGTAATCATCAATCTCTCTGAGAACTTGTCATAATGCAATGAAACTTACCGAATCGATTATTTTATTTTTGTTTTCATTTTATTTCTGATTCTGCAGATTGATCCTCCAAACTTATGCCCATGATGATGTCAGCGTGGGGTCATGGTTCATTGGGCTCGACGTGAAGCATGTCGATGAAGGGAAATTTTGCTGCACATCCGAGTCATCAGGTTGCTACTTTAAAATATTTATACAACTTAATTAGTTCGATTGCCCTTTTCCTCGTATGATTTTATTCTTTTTCCTCATTTTTTCATACCTCAACAAACCACCTTTTCCATCATGAAGGTCTTCTGTTATTTTTCATACCTCAACAAAAAACTTATCAAATTGCACTTTGCACCTCAGAATCTAACAATTTTGTATATTCAGTTGGAATAGAATGTCTTATAAATATGTCGTGTTGCTTGCAGGAGCCATTTGTGCTTCCGCCTGAGTAGTTTGTGAAAACGCAAAACCGAAACAAAATCGTTTAAAGGTATTGTCAAGGGATTCAAGAGGTTACCCGTTTTTTGTCGCTAGAATTGATTAGAAGTGTCATTGTTCGACTCGTAGAAGCTTAGGGAACTCAATTCATCTACACGTGCTTTTGAGTTTTGAGACGAGAGAAAAACGACGAATTATTCATATATGTTGCAAAAGAGTGTGTGACCGATCAATTTCACTGTCATTGATCTGTATTTTAGAGTACATGATTGCAACATCACTGGATTTTTCCT